AACAACAACAAACCAATGACAAAAAACAAAACACAACAAGAAAGAAAATCTTGTAGTTAGTTCAAGGACTGTTTGTTGGCCTTTAGGAGTGTTTTCCAGTCCAGTTTGTTGGGGCACCAAACCCTGGCCCCAAAGTCCACCTTCGGCATTCCTTGGGGGCCTCACGACTCCATTCCCTTGATGTTCTGTTGTACCCCCTTAGTGTTTTGCCTCAGTGTGGTGGGATCAGATTGGGTGCAATTCCCACACTGTGTCTCCAATGTTATTCTCTGTAGGGTGTTATCCTCTGTACGTCCCTCTGGGTCAGTGAGGGACGTAGTGTCTCATAGTGGGGCCGGCCATGTGGTCCTGTCTGTGGACTGGCTACTCTGAACGGGAACATCGTCCTTAAGGCCTGGTGGGCCAGGATGTGCTCCACTGTCTCCTCCTCCCCCTTCATCTGCTCCCGTGTGCACAGATCACACATGCCCCTCTCCTGGAGCTGCAGATTCAGTGTTGTCCTCTGAAATAAATTCTTCTCGGGGGAGGGGCAGGCGTCCACATAGCCCGTGACCCTTCTGTAAGGGGATTTCCAGTTGCCTACAGATGAGCTTTGGGTCTCCACTCTGCACTCCCCCTCATTCACAATAATGTGATTTTTTGTTCTTGGATGTCTGATACCTGATCCCTTCGACACCTTGTGGTCACACAGGCTGGTGTACTGCTACCATGTGGGCTTTGTTGCTTCTGAGCTAGATGGCCACTTGTTTATCTTCTAGCGTTTAAGACCCCAGATGCTATATCCTTTGATAGCCAGCCACCATCAGCTTTCTTTACCACGTTTGCTTATGTACCCATTTGTCTTCAGCGATCATGTCAGGAAGGTGAGCATCATGGAATGCCAGTTTAATAGAACAAAGTATTCTTGTGCTGAGGGAATACTTGAGTGGAGGCCCAATGTCCATCTTCTTCCTCAACACTAAACCTATCAATATATGCACATAGATCTATTGCCCCGCCATCATATATAAATATATTTACATATGTACATGCCTATATTTAGATCTCTGTAAATTCCCTTTGCCTCCTAGTTCTTTCCTCTATTTCCTTTTACTTTCCTCTTGTCCCACTATCATGTTCAGGCTTCATTTGGATTTCAGTAATTTCTCTCAGTTACATTGCCCTTGATCAAGCCCTACTAGGCCTCCCACACTCTCCTCGCCGTACATTTAATTTCTAAGACCATGTGAGCTGTACCCAGAGAGATGTGAAAATTTCTAGAAAGAGAAGTGAGATCATTCAAAAAGAAAAGTAACAATCGGGTGCATAGCCAATAGCAGTTCTATCCTTGGGCCAAAGCAATAGATACCGGTGAGCATTCAGATGGGCTTTGGGGCTAATACTGCTCTTTGAGAGGTTCTGGGCCTCCCTCTGGTGGCCATTGTGATCTACTGCACTTAGCCCCGGGCTTAACTTGTGGATGCGGACACCTTTCATCCTAGCGACCCTCTAGGGACAGAGTAGAACTGTTCTTGTGGATTTCAGAGACTGCACCTCTTCATGGGAGGTCGCTATGAGTCGGAATTGACTCGATGGCAGTGAATTTTTTGGGTGTTTTTAAATTATTTTATTAGGGGCTCATACAACTCTTATCACAATCCATACATACCGGCGGCAGTGAATTTTTTGAGACCCGAATGATGGGCACAGCTCCTTATATTTGTGCCTCCAAATTAGTTCATTTATTTTTGCAACTTATTGAACCATCATTGATTAAGAATGAAATGCAAGTAAGCCTTTGGTAGTTGTTTGCATGCCTCAATCCATCACACACATCAGGGAAGGCGGGGGAACTTGATAATGGCTTATGTACTGCGGCCATGCACTCACTCATTCATGTGTGCTTTCTGTTGCTGTGGGGTGTTCGCCCTGCTGAACAAGGTGACCCCAGTCTCTGCCCTCGGTCCCTGACTTGCCTCCTTGTGAGGAGGAGGAAAGGATGTGGCCTCCCTGCTGGTCAGAGAGAATTACAGTAGAACACCGGACCTCGGCACTAATCCGATCTAGAAGAAGCGTCCAGATGCGATGCAGTCAGATTCCAAATCAGTTTTTCCCATAAGACATAACAACTAAAAATGGATTAATCCATTCTCGACCACCCAGTTTTTACCTGAACCTTGCCTTTTAATACAAAACCTTACACAGAAATTTCAAAGTAAATAAGTTCAGAGTTAAATCTTATAATTGAAATAAGAAACACAGCATTAAAAAAGTTTTTAACAACTACAGTACGGCCCATACCTTGAGGTAGATCAGGATCTGGATCTGGGGAGAGGAGGGGGGGAGAGGAGGCGTGTTTGGAAGGGGATTCCCTTCCATCAAATCAACTGGTAGCTGCTTTTTAGGAGATTTAGCCCTTCTTTGACTTTTTTCACTAGGACCTGGCTGGCTTTCTCTTAGAAAAAATCTGTTTAATGGGGTCTGCTGTTGGCATTTCCTTAACTGTTTTCTAAAAGGGTTTACTAAATTATCATAAACAACATTGATGACACAGCTAACCAGTTCCTTATCATGATGATTTTTTTCAAAAAACCCTGTCTTAGGACCCATGTTTGTTTGTTTGTTAAGCGAAAAAGCCATCAAAACTAAGAAAATTATGGCAAAATGCTTGGAACACAGCCTTAAAATGTTTAAACAACACCTACTAACAAGACCAAACAACTCGAACTGCTTTTGTTTACAAAAATCATGTGCATCATGAGGTGTCGAAGGGATCAGGTATAAGGCATCATCAGA